GTGTGTGTGTGTGTGTGTGTGTGTGTGTGTGTGTGTGTGTTCAGGCAGTGAAGACTCAGTCTGACACAGAGGAGTTTCATATGAACTTTGTGCAGAAGATCAGAGAAACACTCCACCAGCACATCAACACAGATGAACACACACAGGTCACAGGCTGCAGTCCCCCCGCAATGCATGATGGGAAACAGAGTCCTTCTGCTGAGCTGCTTCAGCTGCTGAAGACGACGCTCGTTACATCTCAGCTCAGACTGGAGGAGACGGAGAAACAGGTGAGCTTTCAGCTTCAGACGCGTTTCTCATTTTTCCTCTCAACTTTTTAAATCGTGTTCTTTTTCTCTGGCAGGTCCAGGATCTACTTTTAACGACAGAAAGGCTGCGGGAGGAAAACCATACCCTGCAACAACTGAGCTCAGATCAGAGCAGACAGATCCAGGTAAGTATTCGACTACCAAACCGGATTTTACTGGGAAATTGAATGATTTTACGATGGCTCTATTTGCGACTCTTTTGCTTCAGGTGTTGGTGAAACTGGAGGAGGAGGTGACTCGCCTTCGCCAGGAGAGCTCTGATTGGTCAACGCAGACCGTGGCTCTGCAGGCCGAGCTGCAGAGAGAGAGAGAGGAGAGGACGGAAGAGGTCCAGAAGATGACAAACTACTTTGAGAACGAGTCAAAGGTCGTAACATTTTTTATTTAGCTGCTTTTCACTCTTCTCCTCGCTCTTCAACTGTTTAAATACAGGAACTGATCGTCTTATATACAGTCGCTTCTTGTCTTTACATACAGTCGCTGATCGTACTCTTTTTTTCATTCTTCTCTTTATTCTCTTGACTCTCATCATCATAACTTTGTTAAGTTGAAAGTATTTAATTACCTTGATGAAGATGCTGAGTTAATCTCGTAAACATCGTCTCTCTCTGTGTCTCAGGCTCGTCTGTCCTTCCTCCACTGTCTCTACCAGCGCCTCCTGGCCGGCTGCGTCCTCCTCACTCAGCCCCACAGCATCCTGGGTAATTTCACCTGGACGGAGCTGTGTGATGTCATCAGCGAGCAAGTGGACCGGCTGAGCTCGGACCTCCACAAGGCCAATGACAAGGTGAGTGTCAGAACAGGAAGTTCGAACATCCATGTTGGGTTAGTTTTCACCTGTCGCCGTTGTCCTTTTGCAGATCGCCCGCCTGCAGAGCGCGTGCCAGAAGAAGACCGTGTGCGTACGTGAGCTGCAGCGCCATCAGCAGCGTGTGTTGTCTCGTCTGGAGGAGGGCGTAAGGAGGAGGGAGGATGCCTGGAGCAACCAGCGGACGCAGCTGCAGAACGAGCTGCAGGTAACGAACGACTGACTCCCCTGCAGTGACAGCGACGCTCGGAGCTGAGTCAGCGGAACCAAGTTTTCACTCTATCGTCCCTTTAGTTAGTTTCAGACTCTGAATCATCATTTATTGTCCCCATGAGGATGAACTCACTTCACAGCAGCAGATCAGACTCTGTCAGAGGCGTCAGAGCTGAAACATGAAGAAACATCAGAGACGTCCTGGTGAATTTAATTATTTAATATTTCATTCATTTCATCAAGTCTCCAGGTCATGAATCCTTCACGTTCCAGGTTCTGAAGAATCAAACATCAGTTTCATGAAAGAAGTTTTTTATTGTGAACATGAATGTTCTGACGGTCGTCGGTGCCGTTGTTGCTATTGTTGTTGTTGTTGTCATTGTGGATGTCGTCATTATCATTGTTTTTGTTGTTGTCGTCATCACCGTTGTCGTTTTTCACTGTTTTAATCACCGACAGTCGTCTTTCTCTCTCAGGTGAGTCGCTCTCAGTGCGACTCTCTACGTGATCACGTCTCCTCTTTCAAGCTCCACCGCTCCTCCCTGACCTCCGACCTCGCTCGGCTCAGGGGTCTCCTCTCCCAAAGCCGCAAGGAGTCCGCCTCCCTCTTGTCGGCCTGCACCCTGCTGGCCGGGGCTTTGAAACACACCCACCACCGCCTGCGGACGCTCTGTGAGCAGAAACGCCTCCTGTGCAGACGCCTGGCAGAGAGGGAGGTGCTAGAGGAGGAGGTGAGGAGGCTGGCCAACGCTCTGGGCGACGAGGAAGACAACGAGGAGGAGAGAAGAGGGAGGATGGCAGCGAGGAGGTGGTGGAGGAGTGTGTGGGCGGTGTTGGCAGTGAGGAGGTGGTGCACACTGGCTAAAAAGACGACAGTGTTGTTGCGGGTGGAGAGAGGAGGCGGGGCTCTGGCAGTGTGTGTCTGTGGAGAGACAACGCTAAAGGATCAAAACAAATCAGGTGCAGGTTGATGACGAGTTCATGAAAAAAGTTGAAACTGTCACATGACGATTCTTTCCGAACTTTCTGTAAACTGTTTGTTTACGTGTATTTTAGATGAGGAAGATGGTGGTAAAGGTCGTGAAGGTGTGTTTGCTCGGTGGCTTCGCTCTAAATGCCTCTTCTCCACCATCATATCCTGCATGGCCGACCTGCAGGGGGCGCTTACACACACTGGTAACTTCACCCACACACTATACAACAAGCACTGGGTCAGTTTGTTTATGTGGTCTGTGATGACGGAGGTGTCTTTCACACTCGTCAGGCTCCGCCCCACCAGAGGTGATGTCTGCAGCTCATTCTGGTTTATCCCGCCTCCTGGATCACCTCCTCAATCAGTCGGACACAGCGTCCTGCAGATTGACGCCCCCGCAGCTGAACTTGAAGGTCGCTGAATAAAAACATTTAATTTTCGATTACAATATGTTTCGGTAATGGAGTTCCGCAGGGCTCTCCATTCGGCCCTTTATAAATTAATAACCTTTGACCTCTGCGGTTGTCCTCCCATCAGGCCCTGGTGTCCACCCTCCAGCAGCACTTCCTGCTCTTCAGCCAACGGCTGCACTCGGCCGAGGTGGAGAGGCGGAGTCTGAGGCTGGAGGCGGCCAATCTGAAGAGAGGACGGCGACGGGAGGGAGAGGACACCTGCCAGATGGTGAGGCTTTACACACACACAAACACACACACACACACACACACACA